CAGGGGAGCGGTTGAAGGCAGTGGCGCGGGGGCGGTGGGGTGGTGGGGTGGTGGGGTGGTGGGGGAGGCACGGGCCTGGTGAGCCTGGTGGTGTCATCACTCACCAGCGGTTGAGTCCTGAGCTGTCCATGAACCCAAACTCGCACACGGTCTTGTTGGTGAAAGAGTCGACTGCGGCAGCAGCGGGGGCAGCGGCGGTGGCGGCAGGCTCCGGCACACCCAGGTGCTGCTAGTGGCAGTGCCCTGGCAGCACTGGGGCGAGTGGCCTGGTGGCAGCGAGGCGCGGGAGGCGAGGTGCAGGCGCAGTGGGGCAGGCTTGCAGGGAGGGGAGCGGGCTCACCCTTGCCGCTCAGGTCGACGATGTAAACCTCTGCGGTGGCATAATAGGAGCCTGCGGGGATGGAGAACAGAGGCAGGGAGAGGATCGAAGGGAGGCAGGGACGGCGCGAGGCAGGCGCCTCGGCGGCGCGTGGGGTGGTGGTGGTGGGGGGGTCCTGCAAGCAGTGTGCAGAGTGCAGAGGTGGTGGGCATGCGGGCATGCGGGCAGGCAGGCTCGCCTGGCTCGTCGCCGCACTCCCACGACGTGTAGCGACCTGAGGGTGGACGAGTGCAACAGGCGGCGGGTCGCAGGTGACGCGCGGGCCTAGCACCAGCACACACACAGCACAGCACAGCACAGCACAGCGCAGTCTCTTTCTCTTTCTCTGCCCCCCCCCCTCTCCCCCTCCTCACCGACTTCCGTGTACAGGTCGCCGCCCTTCACGTAGGCGAAACTGTATGTGTCGTTGTTGGTGTAGCCCATGGCGGTGGTGACGTCGGCGGCCTCGTCGAACTGGTAGGAGGGGCCCGTGAGGAAGGGCGGGCCGCCGCCGTTCGCAAAAGCCGGGAAGTCGGCTGCGGGGCGGGGGGCAGGAGAGGGAGGCGGTTCATGGCGGTGGGGAGCAGAGGGGTTGGGTTGACACCTTGGGAGGAGGGTACAAGGTGGTGAGGCGTCAGTGCAGGCTGGGTGTGGCGGAGCGAAGCCGATCTGCCCCGCCCGCTGGTCTGCGCCGCACCTGCGGCGGCGCCGAGCGCCAGCGCGCCGAGGAGCGCTAGCGTCAGTGCGCAGCGGAGGGGCGCCATTCTGCACTGTGGGAGGGGCAACTGCATGAGCTTATGCTCATCATCCGTGACATGCTGCCTGCTGATCAATCCTCCCAGCAGGTGCCCAGGCAGTGGGGCTCCCCAGCCTGCCCAGGTTGGGGTGCCGCCCGCCGCCGCCGCCGCCGCCGCCAGCCGCTGCTCCTGCTCCTAGCCTCCCGCGGGCCGCGGGTGCTGCGATCCCTGATGCCTGCTGCCCGTCTGCAGCCCATCCGGCCCGCGCCTCACCCCTGTATCTATCGGAGAGCGTGTGAAATGCGGGGGAGTGGCCGCCCAGTGAAGTGCGTCCTGCGGCACCCCAGGCACTTGGAGACCGTCAATTGGGCTGGGCAGGGAGGCACGGATGGCGTGCAGGGAGGGTGCGGGCGCTTTCAAGAGGCTGGCGATACCATCCTTGACATGCCGCTGCCGCGGTTCTCCTACCTTGACTTGCAGGTCCCGCTGTGCTGCTCCCAGGGGTAACGGCACGGTCCAAAGCACCGGCTGCACGCCGCCCGGCTGCCTTTTGCCGCACAATGGTGTGTTGCCGCCAGCTGGCACAAGGCTTCACCGGCAGAGATTTGCCAGCAGAGAATTTCTCTTCAGCTATCCCCTCCATCCTCCATCAAACAGATGAAATCATCTATTTGAATGGGTCAAGGGGGCATGAGGGGCAGGGGTGGTGCGCCCGCCCCACTGCGCTAACCATCCGCTCAGCCCCGCCCGCCCCACCCCGCTGCACGCTCCGCTCGCCGCCGCTGCCTTTCCACAACATCGGCTATGAAAAAATGCCCCTCTCCATTTGCACAGCCATGCTCTCACAGTGGCAAGCTACTCAATGCTCCGTAAGCTCAGGCAGCTTACATCATCCTGTACCCATCCGCTTCCTGTCTGCCGCCGCCAGATGTAATCCTTGAACTGCTGTAGAGACAGCGTGGAGAGGGGTGCCCAGGGACCAAATCAGGACATGAGTTACAGCGAAGTGCGCATTTCGGGAAGTGGAAGAGTCGGTCAAGAGGGGTGCCGCAGGCAAATGCCCCACAGCGAGCCCCGCAGCATGCATGAATACAAGGAGTCGGTCAGTGTGATCAGCGCTCAGAACGAGCCTGGGTCAGTTCCGCTGCCGATGGACGGCGGCCTGCTCTGGCCAGAAGCATTGGCATCAAGGCCAGCTGCCATCAGAACTAGTTGCGACCTGCAGCTCAGGGAGGCACAGGCCAGGTCAGTGAATGAAACATGGCCGGGCGCTGACATCATGTGTGATAGGGATTTACAGCACCCAGCATGCAGGAGCGACCATACCCAGCAAACGGGGCCCGGCACAGCCAGCAGGCAAGCCAGCCAGTGCAGCACGCACCATGCCGCCGCCTTGCCGGCGCCGCCAGCACCACTTCCTCCAGGGTGGCAGCCCCCGGCAGCCCCGCCGACCCCTTCTGCCCCTTATTGGCCTTGCCCTCAGCGGCTGCTGCCACCACCGCCGCCACGGCCGCGTCCACCGCCGCCACCTCAGCAGCTGGCGCAGCGCCTGCATCTGTCGGCGCCATGGCGGCACCGCCGCTGCTGGTCTGCAGCACCCCGGCGGCCGCCGCAGGCGATCCCGCAGGCGAGGCGGCTGGCTGCGCCTTGGCCGGCCTGCCGCGCTTCTTGCCGCCGCCTGCCTCCTTCTTCTTGCTCCCTTCCATCTGCTTCTTGCCGCCCGGCGCAGCTGCCTCTGCCGCCGCATGCTTCTGCTTCTTGCCGCCGGCAGCTGCCGTCTTGGGCTTGGCGCCCGCCGTGGCGCCGCCGGCAGGCTTGCGCCGCTTGCCCGTGCCCGCCTTGGCACCCTCCTGCGCCTGCTCCTGCGTCTCGACAGCGAGCGCCTCCTCCTCCTGCGCCTGCCGCTGATCCGATGCGGGGGGTACTGCGGCTGCCGCCGCCTCTAGCTCCCGAATCTCCCGCTCCAGCTTCTCTGCAGGTACCACAGTACCACAGCAACGGGGTCGTTTGTCAGCGGCGGCGGCAATTGTTTTCGGTGGGGTCCATTGTTGAAAACAGACAGATAGTAGGCGGGGGCAGGGGCTCCGTGGAGACGCAGGGAGCTGCAGCCCATGGCACACTGCCTCTCGCTGCCCGGCCCACCTGCCAGCTCCGGCGGGCAGAAGCCGGAGGCCAGGGCGGCGCGCTTCCCCTCCAGGCCCCCAGCCTTGTTCAGAACGAGGTAGTGAGCAACCGACAGGTAGCCTGCAGGGCAGTGGTGGCGGGCAGGACATGGCCGTGGAAACAAACAGGGTGGGTGGACCCTGGCACCAGCTTGGAGAGGGGTGACCTGTGCCAGGCGCTGGCCTACCCCAGCCTGACCCGGCTGCCTATGCGCGCCGCTCCCCCACCTGGCAGCCAGCCAGGCCGGGGTCGGCCCGTGCACTCACCCCGCGACTTGACGCTGCGGTGCAGCTGCCCCGTGGCTTCCCACTTGCGCAGCTTGCGGTGGCGGGAGCAGTTGCACAGGTCGCGGCAGCAGGGGCACACCCACGCTGCGGAAGCAGCAGGGGCAGGAGGGGCGAGGCAGAGGTGGACAGACGTGTCCGGCATCTTGTAGGGCAGGCAGCCGTGGCAGGCCCCATTGCAGCACCGGCAAGCACACGGCAAGGCGGTGAGGCCCCTGGGCCGCAGCCAGGCGCGCACCCTTGTTGGCAGCGGCCTCCTCCACATGCTCCCCATACCGAGCAAACAGGCAGTCGCCGCACAGCACGCCCTGCGCCACGATGCGGAAGAGACGGGAATAGTTTGCTTCAGAGGAACAAGTGTAGAGATGCAGCCAACGACAGGCACACAAGCGGGAGGCGCAGCTGCTGCCGGTGCCCCCTGGCACCTGCCAAGCTGCATATTGCCAGGCTCTCCAGCGCTGCCAGCCAGGCTCCCTGGAGCCTGGTGTGCCCCGCACGCACCACGCCCGACTTGCAGCGCGAGCAGGAGGTGCGCTGCCCCAGCGTCTTCTGGCGGCACTGGTGGCAGGAGAGGCCCTTGTCGGAGTCGTAGATGCTGCAAGGGGGCGGGCACAGCATGCACAGCGTGGCACAGCATGGCAAAGCACGCAAGACACAAGGATGCAGCAAGAGGGCGGCAGCGGAGAGGCAGAATTGAGGCGGCTGAGCTCGCTGCGAGCCGTCGACCCCTGCACCCACAGCACAGCTGGCGCCTCACCGCTCCCCGCCACTGTTGTACCCATCCGTAAACATCTCCCTGCAGCCCGCCACAGGCAGGCAGGCAGGCAGAACGAAAATAGGTTGGCAGGCAGGCAGGCAGGCAGGCAGCACGAACAGAGGTAGGCCGGCAGCGCAGATTGGCTGTCACCTTCAGTGCAGCTTAGTAAGGCAGGTGTGGCAATGGCGTGCTGCCTGTCGCACCCGAGCAGGCCAGCGTGCAAAGCAGGGCCAGGGGGCATGCACGGCCAGGCGAGCAGCAGCCAGGCGAGGGCAGCAGGCGGGCGCACCACTCCTTGTCCGTGGATCCCAAGGCCAGCACATGGGCTGCCCCATACACCTCCTCGCACTCCCCCTCTGCAGGCAGGCGGCGGCGCGTGCACACGCGGTCGGCATGAGCGGCCAGGCAGAAGCAAGGGGCAGGCAGGCATTGCAGCAGCATTCCGCAACAGCTGTGCAAGCCCAGAGGCAGGCGCGACTGGCGATGCGGCCAACGGACCCTTGACGAGCGGGCCGTCGCGTGGGGGCCGGCTGCCGCCGCTCCCCCGCTCCTGCTCAAACACATAGCAGGGCCGCTCCTTCCCCTCAGTCCGCTTCGACCTGCGGCAGGGGTCGGTCGTGAGAGGGCCGGTGCGTCGGTGCTGAGCCCAGGGAAGAGGGAGTCCACAGGCGGCGGGGTGGTAACAACAGCCACGGCGGCGGCATCTGACCGACAGCTCAACAAAGGGCAGGTGGGTGCTGGTCAACCGGCAGGCGCTGATCCATTCAGCCGGGGATGCCAGGGCGCAATCGCTGCCCAAGGTGCCACACATCCAAGTGCAGCCGCTGGGCAGGAGCCCACCTGCGGGACGGCTCCAACGCTTCTGCCGGCTTGTCGGCGGGGCGCCGCTTCTTCTTGGCTGGCTGCTCCGCGGCACCTGCCTGCTGCAACTCCTCTACCATCTGCGGCAGGCGAGAGGGAAAGTTCAGGCCACAAAGGGCGCAGGGCGGCGAGAGCGTGGCGGAGTGCAGCTCGCTGTGGCGGCGGCGGCAAAGCGCATTGGCCTGGCTGGCTCGGCGGGGCCAGGCACCATTGGTACCGTAACTGGCATCCGGCAGAGAGTGCGGAGGACCCCAATTGGGCTGCGATTGCGAGCCTGGGCGGCAAGGTAACAACGGGGCCAGCCCGCTGCCTTGCCTGCGGCAGCTCCAGTTCTTGCAAGCGGCGCTTGTTGGCCTCGATACGCTGAATGCGCTCCAGCTCATAACTCGAGAGCACAACCGGGTCAGCCATCGCAGCGTTGCCCGAGCCCTTCGCCAAGTACGAGCAGCAGTGGCTCCCCAATCTCGCTGCAGGGATCGCCCAGTCACCCTGTACGCAAACAAGGGCGGCAATTTGGTTCAGGCGCCCGCCTGACGGATTTTCAAAGGAGGTGCGCCAGCCTGGCCGCCAGTGTGGCGCCGTCGCCGCAGATGATGGGCCGGCATGTCACGCTGGCGATGATGGGACGCCTCCGCTGCATCCCAGCTGCGCCTATGTTCCTTCTGCAACATCTTACAGCCTCAGACACACCATGGATGTTGCCCTCGACTTGAACCAGGGCGGGCTGCGCAAAGGCGTCCACACTCCAGCCGCTCAAGACCACCATAGATCGAGGCATTCATCATGCATTACAGGCAATGCCCGCAGATGCTGAGGCAAGCAGGGTCCAACCACACTTCAAAGGGTGATGGTAAAGTTATGCAGGGCGGCGTCCCCAGCAAAAAACTGCTGGGAGACCAGGCGCCCACCGAGGCATCACGACGGGCGGGGCATCACGGGCAGTGCACCGCCCGTGCCCTGCATGCTCATCAGCTGCTGCATGAAGGCCATCTGCATCTGCGCCGCCACGCCCTGCTGGCCCTGCTGCGCCGCCAGCTGGCCCGGCAGGCCCGCCAGCGCCGCCGCCGGCACCGCGCCGGCGGGCGCGGGCACAGGCGCCGCCACCGAGGCGGCCGCGGCGGCCTCGGCCACCGCCTTGGCCTCTGCCGCCGCCTTGGCCCGGGCGTCAGCCAGCGCCCGCCGCCGCTCCGCAAGCGCCGCCCGCTGCTGCTTGTGCTCCGCGATGACCGAGGCGTACTGCTGCTCCCATTCAGGCTTCAGCTGCGGCAAGAGGGATGGGAAGAGGAGCATGCGGATAATGGGGAGGTCGTGCTGGCGATGCGTGGATGGCCGAGTGGGGCCCCGCCAGATGCTCGCCAGCCACAGCCCGGTTTCGCAGCAAACCCAGCCCCGGCGCAAGCAGTAGCAGAAGCAGCAGCATCAGGCAGAGGCCCCAGCAAGCGGCAGCACCAGTCAAGAGGTCCCAGAGCCAGATGTGCCAGCAGCAGCAGGGGCAGATGCGCACCAGCAGGAGGTTGGGGTTGGGCGCCAGGCGGCCGCCGGTGAACGGGCTGTCATCTGGCGGCAGGAGGCCCAGCTCCTGAAGCAAAGGGCCAGGGCACTGAGAAATAAGTATAAGAAACAGGGAGGGTGCAGGCAGCACACGTGAGTGCTGGCCGTGGCCGCGCTGCTCTGGGCCCAGGCGGCGAGTCAAGCCGTTGCCGCCAAACAGCCACCCGGCAGGCGTGCCTCGGGGCTGGCAAGCCGCACCAACGGCGGCGCACCTGCAGCCGCTGCTTCTTGCGCCGCTGCACCACCGCCGAGCGGTCCTCCTGAGGCTCCGCCGCCCGCCCAGCCGCGCGCGCCTTGGTGTGCCCTACGAGCGCCGCCGCCGCCGCCTCGGCGCCCTCTGTGCACACGACAGCGCGGCAGGCAGCGAGTTGGAACCGTGGGGGCCTTTTCCAAGCTGAGGATGCATGAAGGTGCCAGCAGCTGTGCCTCGCGTCCACGCCTGCTGCAGGCAGGGACAGCCACCACTACCACCAGCGCCCCGCCGCCGCCGCTCCCTGTCTGTGCCGGCCCGCTGCCCTTTCCTCACCCGAGCCGCGGGCCTGCCGCTTCTTGCCGCGCGCCTTGGCCCGGGGCTTCTCTGGCTCGGGGGTGGCGTAGAACACGTCGGGAAGCCGCCCTGAAGCCAGTCACGGGGCCCGGGGCTGGTCAGCCACACGGGCTGTACCAAGCTGGGCTGGCACCGCTCCCCAGCGGGAGGGCGGGCCGCTGACTAGGTGGCACCACAGTCTCAAGGCTGCGCCCTCCTCCCCTGCGCCCTCTCCCTGCACTCTCCCTCTCTCTCAGGATGAGCCGCGGCAGCTGTACCGCCTCACCTCCCGCCCTGTACCGCTCCACCTCGGCGATGGCGGCCTTGAACTCCGGCTGGTCGCACTCGCGGCTGAACTGCTCCAGGCCCTGCAGCCAGGCAGGCAGGCAGGGAGCAGGGGGCAGCAAAGCTTGGCGCAGGGAGGAGGCAGCTGGGGCTGCGGAGGAGGGGACGTGCATCATTGGACACGCGCCGCACGCCGTCCTCGCGACACCACCCCCCGCAAGGGCGCCCACCTCCTCCCAGTCCGTCAGCTGCCGCTTGCTGCCAATCCACTGGAACTCAAAGGTGCCGAAGAACCTGCGGGGAGCGGGCGCAGGGGGAGGGGGAGGGCCACCGGCGGCCGAGCACGAGCAGGGTGAGAGGACTTGGCGCCGAGTGCACCCCTGCCACCAGCAGGCACATCCACACATGCCTGTACACCCACCCACAGGCAAACCAGCTGCCGGCATCCACACTATGCACACGCCACACTGCCACACAAAATCG